AGGGGGGGGGGGTTTAAGTCGTAAAAGTGTAAAATTTAGAAAAGAGTTATAGTGAAATTTGTTTTAAAACTGCTAGCTTCGTAATATTCAAAAATATCTGAAAAAATTTAAAAAATCTAGTTTACAAATACTGATGACGCAACCTTTTTGGATCATTGTGATATTTTCATTTTCTTTATAAAAAAAACCTTCTCTTTACTGAATTAAACTTTTTTATTTCTAATTTCTTTATTCTGCATTGATTTCGCGAAATATAACATTAAATTAAAGATATAAAATCAATAGATATGATTTAAAAAACTGTTTTCAAATATAATTTAAATGTTTTAAATAATGAAGTTTAACAAAAAGTTGAAATGTGTCACAAAGATTTTATTTTGAAGTTAAATTTTAAATTAAAAATTTCTTTTTTACACGATGGTTAAATGTTTAAATAATAACTAACAGAAATATTCATAATTTTGATACAAACAAATTTTAATTTGGAAAACAAAGGTGATTTAATTTCTTAAATTTAATTTTTTAATTTTGTGCGAAATAAATCTGTTTTAAAATTCATGATTTCAAATTGATAATTTTCCCCGAAACAGTTCTCAATCTTAATCAACATAATCAATAACATCCCAGGCAGTATCATCATCTTCATGACCTTGGAGACCAGAATACTCACCACCAGCCACAGGGTTTAGGTCAGCATCAAGGGAGAAATATCTAAACAATTCTTTTTCTAAAAAGATAATTCAATCAAAAAACTTGATGTAATATATTTACATTTTTAACATATCTATATATATACTTTGCTTGTCTGTCTGTCTGTTTGTATCCCATAAGCGTCAAAAAGGCAGAACCGATGAGGCCAACATTTTTCGTGGGACCTCGCGTGACCCCAAGGAACACGCACCCCTGACCCTTCCCTTCAGTAGAAGTAAATTCAATCTAAATCTGACCGCGTCAACCTTACTGCACCGGCTAGTCTTATTGAGTGTCTGCTTATTTACCCAATGTCCGGGCGATACAGTAAAAAATGCCCGTAGGAAGGTTTATGGATGATCGAATTTTCAAAAAGTTGCCTCTAACAAAATTCGACTGTCATTAAATTCTAAAAATCTACAATTTTTTTTTGATAAATTCCGCAAAATTTTTGTCTGTTTTTGTTAACAATTGAAACAGAAGATGGGTGCGAAGCACCCTAAAAGCCTATTATAACATCAAAACGCATTTCGAATTTGCGAACATTAAGTCTCAAAATTACGAAAATTTTCATTCGAAATTGAAAAGTTTGAAATTTCAAATAAAAATGTTTTAATTTTATTGCAAATTTTGTAAGATCTCTAATATTCTGCCACATGTTCGTAATTTCAAAATGATAAAAAAGGTTAGTAGATTGAATTTTGGTTTATTTATTTTAGAATATCCAATAAAAAGTGTTAAAAGTATATTGATATTACTTTTTCAACTCTTGAGGAGCATCCCTCTCCCCATCTCCCTAAAATATATTATTAAATTATAAATTAATCCAGGACCTTTAAAAGAGAAATACTAGAAAATAATGAATTAAATACATGTATAAATTTGTTAAAAAAAAACTATAAAGATCCTAAAAATCATCTAACCCTCAACTGTTAAAATGTTGATAATTATTTAGTAGTAACTATATTGCTAAGGAATAATGTTCTTACCTATGATTAAAAAATACCACAAAGGATTTGGTAATTTATATTTGTAACATATATATATGTATATATAATGCTGATTTAACAGTTTGATTCTTTTCCATGAACAATTTGAACTTTGAAAGCGTTTTAAATGAAAAATCAAAAAACAAGTCTAAAAATTATCGTATTATAATAGAACAAAACGTGATTTAACTCAAATTAATGAAGGGGCGAATACATCTAACCTTGATTATTCCAAGATGATACATTTCTTTACATTTTAAAATATTTCTTAATGATAAAAACCATTTCAGCAATTATAGGGAAAGGTATCGATGAAAATAAACTTTAAAAAACAGGTTAACCTAGAAATTGGGAGACATAAATGGCAATTTATAAAATGTCGTTTTCGCAACCTATACTGATAATGGAATGCTGCAGATATTTAGTTTTTAACTGAATAATTGTATGGAGCTCTTCAAAACTGTTCCCACATATTTTACTATTTCTTTATTTTTCCAATTAGTGAGATTTAGGTAAAGTAGTATTAAGCCCATCGAAAAACTGTCAAGCCGACCTTTACATTTTTTTTTCGATTTCTCCGAAGTTCTGGTTTAAACTGTACACTTTTTTACCTCTGGAGCAGCATTTGAGAATATCTGGAGATCTGGAGTATCACTCTTTCCTCCTCGACTATCCCGCTCTACAATATATAATATACAATATACAATATCCAATATAAAGTGTGAAATGGTGTAAAGTAGTGTAAAGTAGTGTAAAGTAGTGTAAAGTAATGTAAAGTAGTGTAAAGTAGTGTAAAGTAGTGTAAAGTATTGTAAAGTAGTGTAAAGTAGTGTAAAGTAATGTATAGTAGTGTAAAGTAGTGTAAAGTATTGTAAAGTAGTGTAAAGTAGTGTTAAGTGGTGTAAAGTAGTAAGTGTAAAGTAGTGTAAAGTAGTGTAAAGTAGTGTAAAGTATTACAAAGAAAGAAGAAGAAAGAAAATAAAAACATCTCTACTTGTATAGATTTGTATTCTTTAATATATATCTTTAAGTATTCAAATGTATCAATTTTTAAAATTTTTGGATTTCCTTCAATATTTATAATAATTGTTAAAATGTCAAAACCAAAAGTTTGTTCTCGCAAAAACTTCATATTTTTCAATTAATGTTTTAGCAAAAAATAGAAAAATTGAAAACTAAGTTACAGATTTCTAATTTTTAATTCATTTTTATTTGATTATTTAACTTGTATCATATAGGAATATATTTTTGTCAGAAACTCAAAGTTTGACATCCAAATATCTTATCAAACCTTGAATGTTTCATCTTTGACTACTTACTTCAACATAATTCATAGTTTAAAATATCAAAGGTCTAAGATTTTGGGTCGTAAAGATATCAGGATAAGTAAATATGAATTTATGGAAAAAAATGATAAATTAATTAATCTTTTAGCATTTTTTCATAATGATTTTTGTAAACTAACATAAAACATTTAAAAAATTTTACGACATCCTTTTTAATAAAAAAAATGAAATAAAAGTAAATACAAAATTATGAAATTTTACCTAAACATTCATTTTTCTGGCAATAAAAAAGTTTGTTTCCCTCCTGAAAAAAAACTTTATATTGAAAATACGCAAGATATCTTACTTCAGACAGCCCACAAGAACACAGCCTTTATCTCTTACAATATCTTTTGATCACAAATGATAAATTAATTCATTGAAGTTTAATTTTTCAAAATCAAAAAATATTGTTTGCAAGTTCCAAACTGATGAACGGGTTTTTAAAGGAAAATGGGGGGTAAAAAGCACATAATTTTAAAGGAAAATAGGGGGTAAAAAGCACATATTTTTAAAGGAAAATGGGGGGTAAAAAGCACATAATTTTTGAATTTAAAGGGTCTTCCTTCCGAAGTTACTAAGCTATAAAAGGCATCACTATGGGTGGGCCTTGTAGGTCTAACCTGATTTAAATTGTAAGTTACACAATATTTTAGATGCATTTAGGTTATGCTTTAAAATATTGAACAATTTTTCATCACATAGAGTAAAAACCTATTGGTCTATCAACTGTCCGTGAACTTTGAAAGAGGTCTAAAAAATGATAGTATTGCTCTAACAGTGTCTGGTGTCAAAAGCAAAAACACACATGGAGTCTATGGAAACGGGTGGCCAGACAAAATTCTTAGAACCTGTAATATATTCGTGGTTATCAGGATGTACAACAAATTTTTCTTTCAAAATTTAACAAAGAACATGATGGAAGAATATTGGAGAACAGGAAGAGTAGTGTAGAAAAGAACATGATGGAAGAATATTGGAGAACAGGAAGAGTAGTGTAGAAAAGAACATGATGGAAGAATATTGGAGAACAGGAAGAGCAGTTTAGAAAAGATGTAAGACAAGAACCCTGTTTTATGGCTTTGACCATAATCTTTTTAACTTTATTATCATTATTGTTGAAAATTTAAATTTAAACAAAAAAAACGTTTAAAAACGAACCTGGTGACAAGGAGTTCCATCAGGGAAGTATGCTGAGAGCTGGGGTAGATCATTTAACTCTAGTCTAGGTGTGTACCATCCACCATTCGTCTTCTACAGTACAATAAATGGATACTTTTTATATCTTTTCCAAATTTGAATTTCTATTCTTAGAACAGATAAGAAATTACAATTGTATTACAAAGGAATTGAGTTTTTGTCCCAAACTGATATTTTCTAATCCCCATATTTTTTAAACCCAATATCGAAGACCTAAGATATTTCAAGCTATGATTTCTGTTAGATCAAATAGTCTAAGTTTGAAATATCACAGATCTAACCCATCAGGTTGTAAAGATATAAAAATGATAAAGTTTGAGTTTGGTGCAAAGAGTATGTTCCCAATGGATAAAACTGCATTATTTTATTTTCTATATAATAATAGACTTAGAATGCCAGTGCAATATTTGACAGCTGACTCTTTCATCCTCTATCTCTGAGAAACAAAAATTTCATCTTAAACCCCTCATTGAAAAAAAGGGGTATAGGATAAAACCTGATAATCTCAGGCGTTAAACGAAACCTATAAGAGAAAAATCACGTGACCCGTATAGTGTGCCATTGGCTGAAGTTCTGGTGACGTAACACAGACTATACAGATTATATGAAATAATATCATCAATTACATCTATTAAAAATGCAACAAAAACATTATAATAAGAGCGAACCTGAGATTCTCAGGCTCCCGTGGTTGCGTATTTTCTGAATATGATCTGTTTAAACCTACTACTTTTATACAAAATTGTATATATATGAATTTTTGTATAATTTTGACACAGTTTTATATCAATTTCTCAAGACAGGAACATCAGATAGATGTTTTATATGTATCGTTCAACGTCTGAGTTTCTCAGGTTTCATCCTATACCCCCTTTCATTTTTCCTTTACAGTCCCTCGTTTTGTTGAACTAACCTTGCAGAAAATAGCACAGGAATGCCAAGTCCATTTGTCGGAGTATTTAATTTGAGTTCCTATTCCTGCTTTGTCAATGTCAGGGACATAGCTGGAGAAAATACTGCATTGCTCACTGGCATACCTAGAATATCATAAGCGTGATATAGAATGGAATGGAATCAAGTATTGGTCTATATCTTTATCAATTTAATTTCTCTTCGATATCTCGTGATGTCAGACCCTACAGGTATAAAATTCAAATTACGGTTTGGACATCAAGATCTAAAGAGATTAAAAAAAACACTTCCCACTTTTTTCTCTCACAGGCTCAATTATTATTCAATCATAATCAAATTTATATCACAGTGTCTCCGAGATGTTAGGACTCCATGGTTAAACAATTATCGGATTTGTTCAACCCCTGAATAAATGCTCTTTATCTCCTAATGATGAAACTAATCCGCCACCAGGCTGGATTTTCCATTCTCTCCACACTGCTTCAGTTAACATTCAGTTCACATTTCTTACTTGGCAACCTTCTTTTTTACCATGGCCCTAATATTCAATAATAGGCTTGACATTTTTGAACTTCATGGATATTGTCAGGTGTAAACCGGACCTGTATTGAAGCTATTGCTGACAGTATAAAATGCTGAGTGAGGTGGCTGATTACAGGTTTGTCCTACCAGCAAGCTGACCCCTCGTGAACCCGGTTAGAGTTGATTTACACAAGTAAAAGCTTTAGTATAGTTAGGTATATTCCTTCCTGCAATAAAATATGGTTCCATTAGCTTATATTAATGGTCCCCGGCAGGGGTTCTCCTTGTTGAAGAAGAAGTGAAGGAACTGGGTCTGCTTTTCCCTGGAAATGGTCCAGTACACTCCAAATTGGTGTTAGGTCATATCATCTCCACCCTGAACTTGTATCTAGTAACTAACAAAGCTTTTTAGAGTTTTAGGCTTATATTAAACACATTAAAATAGATTTTTGCCCATTTTAAGTAAGTTCTGGACCTCCTTCAGCTTTGTTAATGTTTTTTTTATGCAGGTACGCTGATCTGTTTCATCTCCAAGAGATAAAGAGCATTTATTCAGAGCAGAGTTGACAAAATCCAAAAAATGTCTAACCATGTACTCCTGAGATCCAAAAGACAATATGATAGCAATTTCATTATGATCGGTACTTATTAAGCTTGTGAGAGAAAAAGTGTAAAGTGTTTGGTTTTTTAACACACTTTAGTTTTGAAGATTAATAATATTTAAAAAATGCAATCTCTCTACGTGAAGTTCTAACATACATTTGTGTTTATAACTTTGCACTACAATCTAGACAGAAGGAATCACTGCTAGGGCTTTGTGACCTCCTTGCTCCTTTAGCCATGATTTTAAGCTTTCTGAATATAAATACTCACTTGGTGGTATCAACTCTTGATGAGCAAATAGACCCATCATCACAAAACTCAATTCCAGTAGTAGGACCTTTACAACCCTCCAAGGTATGAACGAGTCTACCTCGCTGGCAAGAACGCTGTTTAATCTTGGCACCAAGGCTGGCCCCATAGCTCTTAAAGGTAAGAATATTATTGGCAACTATTTCCTACAGGTTTTGTTCATATATTTATGTTATTTGCTGGTTTGTTTGCAGCCACAACCTACCAAACCTGTTAAATGTGATCACCAAAATAAATTTGAAATTTTGATTACTATTTGATAAAATTAGGCTTAGAACCAACTACCTTATTTTTAGAACGAAAAATCTATATCAAAAAGGATTAAAGTTTTTACATTTACAAGATTTGAGTTACTAAGCTAATTTTTCTAACATAGATGAAAACTATTAAAATTAACAACTTACGTTTGACGTACAGCCTGATTGACATCTTGAGTAGACCCAATCTGACCATTGACCCGGTGCAATATACTCATCTTCCTTTGGTTTATCATTTACAACACATTCACCATGTCTAAATGTAAAATAAACTATATTGCACTTGATTTTTTGTAAACAAACCATCACAGATTATATTTGAAAGATTTTTGAAAAACTGTACAAATTGTGCACTAAAAGTGTAAAATCTTAAAGGGAGTGACCGGCAATGTATGGTAGTTGAACTGAGAATGGATTATTGTGGAGAAATTTTTTAGGAATCATTTGAGACATTTGATCAAGACGTTTTTAAGAAAAAACTAGATATTTTAAAAATGTTCTTTCTTGTAAAGTGGCTAATTACAAGGACATCCCTTTTCTTTTCTTTTTTAAAATTAGCCGATATATGATTGAAAGATGTAGGAACAAGCATGTCCAGCCCACCTCCTTCTGCCAGTTTCAAACCCCTTAAACTCCTCACTGATAACTGGAGCGGCTCGTCCCATGATTTTTGCCCCTAGCTGTCCTCCATCCTACACAGGTTCACCCTAACCAACTGCAACAACTGTCAAGCTGAATCAACACGTCATCCCTTTAAACATGAGTGGACCCCTCAAAAACATCCTCAACTGGGACAGTTACAAGACCAAATTAATTGAAGAGTTTGGCAGCATCGACATCTTATGCAGAGATGTCAACCAAATGTTTGACCTCCTTCCCAATATGAATTGGTCCAGGAAGTTGCTGAAGATCTAGCCCCAAGATCAAAACACTTTAAGTCAATTTGGAGATCATGGGGGAGTTCTACAACATGGAGGACCTCCACAGCATCAACCTCCTTAAAATCCGTTTTGAGGAGATCTTGGAGCAGAAAGGTCAATTATTTTGTGTCTTTAATCAAATGTTTAGGTGGTTTGTGTAGAAATATTTAAAAAAGGTTAACAATGCTTTAAATACAGACCTACACCATTTTCCTTCTCCACATGCTGTTCCTTCAAGAGCAGGACCTGCCTTGTAATATCCTTCTCTTTTAGAGGTTCGACACTTGATGGAGTAACACATGTCCTAAACACAGAAGATACGATTAAATGTAAAAATTGGTTAAAAGTGTTGACCAATACATTATAGATATTGAAAAATACAAAGTTTTTAAAGAAATTAATGGTCAACCTTCAGAATGAGAAGCTAGTTAAAAAGGAATGGAGAAGGGGCCGGGGGAGTTACTAAATATGAATGGTTGGCCGAACTATACTATTTTAGAGGGAGTGGGGGCTTAAATGAACAATTTATCCAATCATAAAATATTAAGATAGTAATCTATGTATAATTACAAACGTATTATTCCTGACCTGAAAATCTGATGCTGTATGATCAATATGAGCATTATTATCCAGGAGGAATATTTGGCATTGTGCAGTTGCTGTCCAGGTTTCTCCGGGATATTGATTTGACTCCATACCAAGAACCTCTTCCTTGGTAAATCATTTAATCAGAATATCAATCTATGCATAATTAAAGAGAAAATTAAAAAACGCTTTTAATTCCTTTGTTTGCTGTTTTAAATTTTAAAAATATTAATATTAACTTTCAAGAATTGGCAAAAAATAAGAATTTTCTTTCAAATTTTTGGAAATGGATTTTTTTGGTAAATATTCGGTAATGTCAGGGACACAAGTAACAGAACAGCTGAGTTGAGTTCAAACTGTACACAGCGTTCACAGCGTTTTACAGGAATTCAAGCGGTTTTCAAGAGCTTTAACATAGAGCTATCTTCATTTGATAAACAGTTAAAGGTTTCTAGGATACCGTTATAAATCAGACATTCCCCTCTTTGCATGGAGGGTCACTTGAAATTACGCATACATTCCCTTTAAAGAAACTTATTAAATACCTTTTTGCCATTGTTATCATTAAGACAGGAGAGTCTACCCTCCCCTTCATATTTGTGAAGAGAGTTAACACTGCATTGAGACCATCTGTTCTCACCTGAACATTGAAATCAAAATAGAGGAATATTATTCTAAATCAACAGCATTAGCTTACCATTGGTTCCTCTAGATTCTGACATAATAAATCCATCCCTAGCACATCCAGCAGCACCATCATGGCTCATTCCCAGATAGTGTCCAATTTCATGTGCCATAACATATACAGCTGTAAATCCTGCTGAAGGATATGGTTTCCCAGTGTTTGTTGTAACACCTAGTTCTCCGATAACACAAGCATGAGGACTCTGACAAACTCCACCAACCCTAATTTCAAAATATGATTTTATTTTTACGTTTTATACAACAGATTGGAATAAATTGCGCATTCTCAATGATTTTGCATAGAAATGACATAAAAGAATGTTTGATTTTTGTACAGCGTAGGAAAAGGGACCGAGTGTATTTTGTAGGTTAAACGGTAATTTATAGAGCAAAACGGTTTATCGATGATCCATTTAGGGGCATTCCAACTCCTGAAAACACTTTTTAATACAATAAAAAGACGTTTAGCGGACGAAAAAACTAATGAAAAGCTTCAGAAAAATGACCAACTACATTAGGTCTACTTTAAAAGGTTTAAGCGGCATTTTACAGCTAAATATTTCTTCAAAAGGCCAACAATGTATTGAATTGTACAAGAAGAACTTTTTAAAGCACAAGAAAATGAAGTTTAGTAGGACAAAAAAAAAGCCTAAAACACTGTTTTCAGAGATACCCTGTATGTTTTTTGTTAATGAAAACCTGGCAAGTCCCATGGTGACCATATTGCGTTGTCCGTTTGGATCAAGAGCATAGAAGTTAAGTCCAGAAACAAACAGTGCTAGATCCCAGTGTCCTGGGTTACCATCATCTTGAGAATTAGCTTTATGCTGGAAATCACAGAATGAATCCAACAAGGGTGCTCTGTCACCCTAAATATTAGAACATATGCATCATTCTCAACCTCCGGAGGCTCTGGGGGGTCTGAATCTATTTATATATGGGGGGGGGGCGTCTATCGTCCCCCCCTAGTAAGTTATGTTGAAGTGCACTGCATGTTCCTAGTCCATTTTTCTAGACAAGCTCATTAAACAATTAGTCCCCTAACTCTAAATGTGCAGATGCTAGAGAGGTTTAAAATAATGACAAAAAAATTGAAAAAATGTGAAAAAAAACTTTTGTTTTTGAAAAATAATAACATGAGACATGTAGTTGATATTCATTTTTAAAACAGGTTAGATCAGTAGCTTAGATAATGAAAAACAGGTTAGATCAGTAGCTTAGATAATGAAAAACAGGTTAGATCACTTAGATAATAAAAAACAGGTTAGATCAGTAGCTTAGATAATAAAAAACAGGTTAGATCACTTAGATAATAAAAAACAGGTTAGATCACTTAGATAATAAAAAACAGGTTTGTACCTGATATGTGTTTATCTGATCTCTTTCCCAAAGCTCTAATCTAACGATTGTAAACTTGATTGTCTGAGCAAGGCTGGGAAGCATGTACAGAGCTTGAATACCGTTCATATATCCCAAAACAAAACGTCTGATTTCTTTATCATAGTCCGCGATACCTTAAACAATAGCATTAAACAGACTGATTTTATGTTGGAAATTCAGAGATGTTTTCAGAGGGGGCTATAGGGGCTCTGCCCCCCCCCCCATGGATCCACGGTTTTTATTTGGGCCCCAAAAAATAACTTAAAATTCAAGCCCCCAACCCTGCCCCCCCTCCCGTCCCCGGACGAATTCCTGAATACGCCTCTGGTTTGAAATAAAACTATTTAGGTAGAAATTGAGTCTTTGACACAAAGTAAAATTTTCTATTCCCTTTATCTTGGTAACTTGTTGGTATACACCTTTAATATTTCCAACTTAGAATATTTGATCTGACAGAATTCATTAGAATAGTTAAGGTCTACGAAAATAAGTTGCAAAGATATAGAGATTAGAAAATCTGAGTTGTGGCGAAGACTCAATTCCTGTAGAATATACTCACCAATAGATTTGAAATAGTCGGAAAATCTGTAGTAGGCAGCTGAATCCAGAAATAGAGCTGTTTCAATTACCTAATTCAATTCTTAAAGTTGTATGTAAAATTCAAATTACATCTGACAAGCAAATATAAAAAAAAAGAATTTTGAAGAAAAAACTTTGTTTTTTGAAAGAAAAAAACCTTTCATTTAAAAAAATTAATTTATTTTAGCCCATATTACCCCCAGGGTACCAATGGATTTAAAAAAAATAGAAATTTGAAGAAAAAAATTTGATTTTTGAAAAACAAACTGATTTTGGAGAAAAAAATCATTCTTTTAGCCCACGTTAACCCCAGGATACCAATGGGTTCCCTCAAAAAATTTATTTATAATGATTAATTTTAACCTTTTCACTTCCAGATCTCTTAGCATAAGATGGATCTCTTTTAACTTGTTGAATAGTATCTCCCTCCTCTGTTGTTGTATTTGTTTGATTAACCATCTGAGGAACTACTGTCTTGTCCATTTCAAATTCATCCATAGAGTTATCTTGATCAGAAAACATCTCCTTTACTACGTCCAGATATGGTCTAGGATTTATTTAATTCAAATAAGCTCTACAGTAAATGCATGAATAATAAAAACCAAGATGATTAGTATACTTTTACAAGGATAGCTTTAAACTTTTGAATTTAAGTGGGTTAAGCTTTTAAAGTGAAAAATAATAAAATTTAAAATTGGAAAAGAAACATTTCGGTTTGAACCATTCAGGGGAAAGAGGTGGTCTGCCCACCTAAAGGGACTGTATGGTTAATTTCAAGTGACCATAAATGGAAGAGGGCAATGACCGATTTACAATGGTACCCTTAAAAGCTTTGTCTGATCATCCATGAATCAGATATCAATGTTTATAATTTTTAACAATGATTATTTTCAAGTCTGGGTTCTCTACAAAAGTTAGTTGCGCATTTTTTAAGCAGGAAAACATATCGGAATTACCAAAATTAAACACTTTAAACCCCTAGAAAAACGACTTTATCTTTCATATTATTGATCAGATAAAGTATTGCTCTCCAAGAATATATATATATATTTTCAATTGTACCTTGTTTCATGCTTTGTTGTTCGCTTAACAAGATGGAAGTTTCTTGGTTCTCTTGTTCTTACTCCATTATTTATTGTCTTATTTTCCTAGAAGAATAAGTATTTAACCCAATATAGAACACAAAAACATAATGTTCTTACTCCATTATTTATTTTCTTATTTTCCTAGAATAATAAGTATTTAAACCAATATAGACTATACAAAAACATAATGTTCTTATTCCATTATTATTAGAATAAGTATTTAAACCAATATAGACATACAATACAAAAACATAATAATGAAAACTTACATCCTGCCACATGTCAAGCATTCTTTTAAGTCTGTGGTTGAGGGGTAGGATTTCTAAAGAGTTATTCTGCCCAATCACAAGACCATGGGTTTGACCATCACACAAAGATACAGAGGCAACAATATTATCTTTAAATAAACATTATTAATAACATTGTCAGCATTCCTATTTTCTTTCGTATAGTAAAAAAGCGTCATTTTCAGTGATCCTCCATGCAACGATATCAATGGTTTAAAACCTAAATCTGAATTAAATGTGGAAGATAACGTCGTTTTTCTCACTCAAAAGTGTTAATTTCTGTGAACTGTTGTCAGTGCTTCTTGTCTTGTAGAGAACCCACAAATGAAAATAAAGAAAATCATGCAAATATGATTAATATTTGATTAGACAAAGCTTGTAGGGGCACCATTGTCATCTTTGCATGGAGGGCCGCTTGAAATAACGTTAGCAGTCCCTTTAAAAACGTAAAATGACGATAAAATTCTAACCTCCATTGTGTAAATAATGGCAATCTGCTTCGTCTTCAACTTTTCTATCCATAACCAACTCATCCATTGACATATCCCTGCAGGCAAACAAAAATATTCTACACATGGATTAGTTCACCATTCATATATATATATGTAGATATATATATATCTTTATGTCTGAATAAACCTTTAGAATAATAATTTTTAAAGAGTCTTTTATATTGATCCTCTGTATACCCGGTCATGATACCAATATATCACTTTGATCCTTTATATGCCCGGTTATATTACCAACCTGGTATTATGGTCCTCCATATGCTCGGTCATACTATCAATCTGTTATTATGATCCTCTGTATGCCCAGTCATATTATACCAACATGTCATTACGATCCTGTGTATGCCCGGTTATATCACCAACCTGTCATTATGATCCTCTCTATACCCGGTCATATTACCAACCTGTCATTATGATCCTCTGAATACCCGGTTATATTACCAACCTGTCATTATGATCCTCCATATGCCCGGTCATATTACCAACCTGTCATTATGATCCTCCATATGGCCGGTCATATTACCAACCTGTCATTATGATCCTCCATATGGCCGGTCATATTACCCGGTTATATTACCAACCTGTCATTATGATCCTCCATATGCCCGGTCATATTACCAACCTGTCATTATGATCCTCCATATGGCCGGTCATATTACCAACCTGTCATTATGATCCTCCATATGGCCGGTCATATTACCAAAGTCAATATCATCCCAATCTAACCAAAGTGGTTCTTCAATATTAGTCACATCTATTATTGGCACACGCTCTAAATAAATAAACAGATTTAAAGGGACTGTAAGTGTAATTTCAAGTGACCCTCTATGCAAAGAGGGCAAAGCCCGATTTACAACGGTAAACATTTGTGTGTTCGTCAAGAACAGAGATACGTGTGTAAACTTCTCGAAACCTGTTTGTTGTTCAAGTGTGCGCTGTGTTTATTGTTCAAGTGTGCGCTGTGTTGACTTCCGAACAGTTTTAACTCAACACAGCGCACACTTGAGTTCAACAAAATACAAACGGGGTCTGATAAGTTTAAACACACATATCTCTGTACTCGACGAACACACATAAGTTTTAATGGTACCGTTGTAAATCGGGTATTACCCTCTTTGCATGGAGAGTCACTTGAAATTAAACTTACAGTTTCTTTAAGCACATTATTTGCAATTATCAAATAAAATGTAATGTTTAAAAACAAGAAACATTTTTTCAATTTTTATTAATTACACTGTTTAAAAAGATTAATCTTAATTTGAACTCAAGGTCTGGTATGAGTTTGCCATTTTTTCTCTGTTTTTTTTTTGAAGAAATTTAATATTTTTTGTTATTTTTACTTTGTGTATATTTTGTGGTACTATTTTACCGTCATTTTCCTTGCCTGCTCCTCGTTTTCCAACAACTGCAAATGGGGCCAATAAATCCCTAGAGATATTAATTTAGTATCTTTAGAAACTTAAATATATGTCTCTTGTTCAAATTCATTCTTTTTCCCCCCTGTTTTCGTGGGTGTTTTGATTTTTATTTTTGTTGCTACAGGGTGTCCCACAAAACATGACAGTAGCAAGACGACTGTAAAAGTTGTCTTTGATTTTGGAATTTATTTGTGACATTCAGTCGTCAACCTACTTTAACATGTGTGATTCATGAAACCATAACCACAAAATTCTCCTAGTCCTGTGTGGTCTGCCTGCCTTGTGCTGGCAATATTACCGTAGAACAAAATTGTCGAAATCTGAACGAAATTTTGCATATCTCGGCTAATATCGAAAGAACAAAAAAGGGCAGACCACATTTTGGAAATGTCAGGACTACGATTATTTTGTGATTACTGTCAGAATTTTACTTGTAAAATTTGAGTGACAAATAAATGCAGAAAACTATATAAAAAATCAAAAACGACGTTCAAGTCGTCTTGCTACAGCCATGTTTCGTGGGACACCCTGTATAATAATTAGGAAAAATCAGAAGTAGTCTACATATATTATTTCTTTATTCATTCTAAATAAATAAAAAAATACTTTTTAGATACTTTTAATGAATTGAAACAAATACATTATTTTTGTAAAGATAATAGGATGTTTTTCAAACTGTACAATATACATTATACATAGACACTGGTTTTTCTTATATCCTAACATAAAGAAATGGTCATTTCTAACTTTATCGGACTGATCATAACAAGTTGAATTACTTTTTAGTTATTATTAAAGAATAAATAACATTGTTCAATCTAGCAGAATGATTTATATTTGCATTACATCACAAGAACTAAAAATAAATAATGTGCAAATAAAGTATTACACATTTCTGGAAAAACTGCCCAATTTTTCGTGGCAATTTACATGATCCCAGATTTTTATGGAGTTGAAGAGAATAATCCTGACCCAGAGCATTAAAATTTAATAAACTTGGTTGGTTAGTCTCTATCCCAGATCTCTTAGAGGCAGGATGGATTACTTCTACAGTAATTACTTCATAATCACTAAATAGACCACTTGTTTAATACAAACTTGTTATTTCTACTTAAATAGTTATTGTTTTTTATACATGTTTAAGGGACTATCAAGAAAAAATGAAAGGGGTATAGACTGAAAACTAATCACTTTAGCTCTTGCATTATAGTGGTCACGTGTCCCTGTCTGTATCACGTGACCAGTTCTTGTGACGTAATACGGATTCATAAATTATATCTTAAATTACATCTATTAAAAATAAAAATAAATATTATAAAATAATAATTGGAGAAAACCCAAGTTACTATTAGGTTTCTCTTGGATATCTTCGTTTTCAGATTGGTTGCATATTTGCTGAAAATGATCTGTTTAAATTTACTTTTTCTCAAAATTGTTTATATATATATGAATTTTTTTATACATTTGACACAGTTTTATATCAATTTCTCAAGACAAGAACATCAGATATAACTTTCATGGTTTGCGATCAAGAGCCTATACCCGCTTTCACTTTTCCTTTACAGTCCCTTTAAACATATATTTTTTTATAAAATGATGTAAAATTGTTAAATATTTTTCGTATATTGAACTTGTTAAATAGTTGTTTTTTAAATATACATTTGCCGAGCTAGTTTTGTGTATCTTATGCTTATTAAATATGTTTTTAGATATTCATGATACTTGTTAAATAGTAATTTTTGTATTACACATTTGTTTAATTAGTTTTCTATATACTTTTTTTAATGTGCTTGTTAAATTGCTATTTTAGACGAATATTTCTGCATTGCAAAGCTAATTTTGTGCATTACATGTTTGTAAAATAGAATTGTTTGTATTTGTTAAAAAGTTAACATATTATAAATTGTAGATGAAGTATTTTAAAACAAACATTTTTTTACCAAAACTCAAACGTTATTCTTAAAAAAGTATCGTGTTTGAACGTTTTACACTCATTACACGTACCACCTCATGGTTTCTCGTCTTCTTAATATTTAAAGTTTTAAACTCATTACACCACCTTGTTGTCTTGCCTCCAAAATATTTAAACTTATTTCCCCACCTTGGTGTCTCGTCTCCAAAATATTTAAAATCATTACACCACCTTGGTGTCTCGTCTCCAAAATATTTAAACTCATTACACCACCTTGGTGTCTCGTCTCCAAAATATTTAAACTCATTACACCACCTTGGTGTCTCGTCTCCAAAATATTTAAACTTATTACACCACCTTGGTTTCTCGTCCCCAAAATATTTAAACTTATTTCACCACCTTGGTGTCTCGTCTTCAAAATATTTAAACTTATTTCCCCACCTTGGTGTCTCGTCTTCAAAATATTTAAACTTATTTCCCCACCTTGGTGTCTCGTCTTCAAAATATTTAAACTTATTTCCCCACCTTGGT